AGCTTTGAGTTAGATTTCAGTCGACTTTTATCAGAGTTTTATGGGCAACTGGATTTTTAAGATAGGTTCTCATTAATTTCTGAATAACTCATTATATTTCAATGAACTCCTAATGGCTTTTAATCAGATTTCGAATGACTTGGGCTACATGTGAAATGATTTAAGTTACGATTTCAGTTAGATTTTGGTTTCTAGTCAGATTTGTAGGGGGTGAAGGGAGACGTGTCGCTACATCCTACTTCACCCTCTATATGCTAACAAATCATTTAAATGGTCTTCTTGCTCCGTATCTTTCTCATTGTCGTTCTCTGTCTTTCTCACTGTCCCGCTCGTGCTCTCTCTCTCTCTCTCCCTCCCCCTCTCTGCCTCCACACATACATATATATAACCAAACTCGAAGATTGCATTTGCTCAGGCTTTGAAGTTTCCTCTTCTGCACACGCGCCGCCTATCCAAAGCCCATGAACTGGCTGGGTCAGGCTTCATAGTCCCTTGCTGCGCCACCGCCTTGCTGTCTGCTCTGGCAGCTATGGAGCTGAAAGCCGATGTGGCAGCGGGCCGCAGCCCTCGGCCACTGGTGCCGCTCTGAACAGTTACATCGCCCGTCGTCCTCCACCACAACGACGACGGTAGGGCCAATGCGAGCTTGCTCATGGTATTAGGAAAATGCTCCTGCTATCTCCTGCTACTATTCCCCCACCGCATATCCGGGAGGTTATAAAACGATCCTCATATTAAGAAAAAAGTCCCCAAGCACAGGGTGCTGGAATTAGCCCCCATAACCATATCGCCCTGCTAAACTTTGAAACTTCAAGCACTAAATCCTAAGCCCTAAACTTACACTCTACAACCCCAAACCCTCAAACACACACAAGGATCCTCCTGGTACCGGGTGTGGGCGCATAAGTCGCCCTGTTGCTTTCTATACGTAAAAGTGGCACGAAACCTAGGTTTAGCGCGATTTGGAGGAAAGCATTGTAGTTGGACATCCAGGAAATTACATTGCATCAAGGAGAAGACTTCACTCTTTGTTACAATGTGTTCGGTTTCTGAGATTGAGTGTGTTAACCCGGATCCGCAACCCGGCAACCCATAGAGAAACAAAAGCGCTGTAAATACCCGTGTTTTGGACATGGTCGCCAAAGGCATGGACGCTTGTGACAGCTTTCCCTGTTCCACATCCATGTGCAGTATGTTGTACAAAGACCAGAAACACTGCAAATAACAGTGTTTTGGGCATGGTCGGCAAAGGCATGGATGCTCGTGACAACGTTTCTTGTTCCACATCCTTTGCGCAGTGTGTTGTACAAAGAGGCGAACACACTGTAAATAATGTGAATGACGTTCTTATCCCGCCCACCTGCCCCCCCCAACCCCCAGCCGAACAACACCGGAAAAAAAAAATGCAAAACATAAAAACCTGAAAAGCACGCAGGGCGACCTATGCGCCCTCCACCAACTATAGGCCCCCTGGTAGTAAGTACTGAGGTCTACATAAAGGGTAGTTTGAGGGTCTAGGCACTAAACCTTAAACCCTACAGGCCTAAACCCTAAAACCCTAAGCCCGCAACTCTACATGCGGACTCTCAGGCTGCAACTCCAGCAGGCTTTGATCGCAAGTCTGGAAGCCGAAAGAGAAGCGTTGGAGGCTGCCGAGCCCTAGGGTTCAGGGTTTAGGTTTGAGGGTTTAGGGTTTAGGGCTCTAAGCTGTAAACTTGTTTAGGGGTTTCAGGATTGTGGAGTTTCAAGGGGTAGGGTTTAGGGCTTAGGGTTAGGCTTGCCTTGTTGAGGGTTTTAGGGTTTTAGGGCCTCTTCTTGGACGCTTACAAAAGTTTATACTAGGATACCTATAGCCAAACCTTGGCTTAAAAACTCACGAAGCCTAGACCCTAGATCATATTTGAACCGAAAAAGTATGTAGAATAAGTGCCTTTTGGGGCTGTGTTAAAAAGCATCTTGGGCCATTATTTTACCTACTTTTGGGGTTCAGGTAAACCCTAAACCGCGGGGCGTAATGTGCAGGGTAACGGGGACCATGGGCCATTAGCAAAGGCGCAGGCTGCCACCTTTGGTGTTTTGGCGGTACCTGGACCCTGAAAGCAAATGAGATGAAAGCCCAATTACTTTAAAAGCTATTCTGCATGTGTTTTGGTTCAGGCCTTAGTGTTCAGGCCTTAGTGTTTAGGTTTTAGGGATGAGGTTTTGGAGTGTGTAGGACAGGGAAGGACGATGGAGTACAGGATTTTTGTGTAACCCAACACCAGATAATTATTTCTGAGACTTTTCCCAAGGGCGCTTGGAAATTTCAGATGTCCCTGACATCCGCTAACTAAAAACCAATCGGAAAAGATCATGAACCCCCACTTGACTACCATCCCAGAAATCCCCCCACGGCACATGAAACACCGCATAGGCCCCTGCACAAATGACAGCAGCATTTTCTGTATGGCGCCTTTGGGTGTGCCATGTTTGTTTGAGCGCACGCATTGCCGAGTTCTCAAACCCCAAAACCTTCGTAGAATTTCCCCAAGTACTTGCATAGCGCCCAAATACTCCCAAATAGCAACTACGTAGATCCCTGTTCAGAGTGCTGGGGACGTCCTGACTGAAAGCTGAACCCGGAACCTCGATACGTGAAACCCCAAGTATTCGAGCCGTCCAAGGAGGTGACACCAACCTGCTCAGCTGCTGCCACTGGAGAGGAGATGCCACACGGTTGGGTTGTAAGGTGTAGGGATTTAGGATTTAGGGTTTAGTAATGGTGTCCTGAAACGAACTTGCATCTTTTTGCTTTCTCAAAAATCCCAAATGAACTTGACTAAATTGTTGGGAGGCTTCCGGAGCGAATTCACTGTGAGGGTTTAGGTTTCAGTGCCACATAATTTTTTGGTAGTTTGAGAGCATAAGTGTAAGGTTTACATAAGGGCTTGTGCAGGGTCTTGAAACCCTTTTTTCACGGGTTTCGGAATTTGATGGCTGTAGAGTTCGGGTTTTAGGGGTTTAGGCTTAGCGTTCCGTGTTCAGCGTTTAGCGTTTGTTTCTTTGTTTGCCTACCGAGAGTCTGGCGTGGTGCAAACGCCATTGCGGTGTTTTGGGGCGCAGGGTTTGGGTTTGGAGTTCAAGGTCCAGTGCTGACAGTTTTAGGGTTCAGGGTTGAGACTGAACATTCCTGGGATGTGGGCCCCGTTTTCAAGGCGTTTCCAAGGGTTCAAGGGGGAACGCCGGGACTGGGTATGTTTGTTGTCGCCATGTGGGACGGTGCTCTGGGTGTAGGCTTCAGGGTTTGGCGTTTAGGTTTAGGGTTTGGGCTTTCGACTGCTTCAAGCTCCTTGCTAAGAAGAGGATTTTGGAAAGCTATCATTTGATGATAAGACGGTCCTAAATTGAGAAGCAACATCTTCTTGATGGTCTGCTACAGTACAGTCTCAAGAAACGCGTATGCAAGGCAAGTTTCGGGTTGACTCTTCACGTTCTTGTCCACTCATGTCTCTAGTATTCTCCAGTTCCTATATTTCTCTTCTTTTGGGGTTGGGACACTCAGGATCTCATGTATTGTATAGCAGCCCATGGGCCTTCAAAACGAGATCCTTCAGGAACCTTTGTAAGTTACTATGACTGGAAACCTCGTTTTCTATGTAATATTAGCCCACCTAATAACTTAGTTTATGTTCTTTAACAGCAACCTAAACTCCTAATCCCCAACATTAACCCTGAACCCTGAACCCCTTGACCCTTATGTTTGGCAAGGAGTTGGAAGCCCACAGAGAGCAGCTATCAGGGCAAAATCTGATCCTGCATCAGATTACCAGCGGCCGAATTCAGGCGGGGTAGCGTTTAGGATATATGATACAGGGTTTAGGTTTAGGGGGTCTAGGGCCTAGGGTTAGGTGAAAAGAGGGTGTAAGGTTTTAGGGCTTACTTTAATGTTTAGGGTTTCGGATTAAGGGGTCTAGGCCTAGGATTGGAGGTGGGGCTAGGGAATTACTTAACGATTCAACAAGCACACTACATGGTCATCGGGGTTCCAGTATGTTCCAGTTTATGATTCGAGGTAGTGGTTGTATCGCGCTGTCGGTGAATGCACGTGGTTACGTTTGATTCGGGTGTCGATTTGCTTGCACAAGACAAAGGGTAATTCATATGGAGGTTATTCTGACATGAGACTGTTCTCGGAGTTCCTAGGAGCTACCTCCTCATTGAGCTTTACCAGGTTTGCTGTCCCAAAAAACTAAGTCGAACCTGTCATAGTATTTGTGGGCTCCTTTTAGGTGGGCAGATCATCGAAGCCAGTTTGACCCTAAACCCTAAACCCTAAATCCCTAAACCTTAAACCAGCTTCCATGTAAGTTTCAGGGCAGGCATTGGCAAATGCAGGGTTTCTGGTTCCAATCTGGGTGCGCCAGAGCTTCTACGGCTTCCTTTGTTTAGGGTTTAAGGTTTAGGGTTTAGGGTTTAAGGTTTAGGGTTGGTTCTATGTACTTTTTGATACCACTGGGATTTAGGAGCTTTTCGGAAAAATGTGGCAATTGTAGGTTATATCTGGGGTGGAAATCTCCAAGCACAGGCCCTATAGATTTTGAACCCTAAGCCCTGGCTAACCCTAAACCCTAAACCCGCCTGCCGGATGCTCTTGAACATCTTAAGGGAGGTGCGAAAGTACCGCTGATGTGTATAAGTATGTAGATAAGGGCTCAGGGTTTAGAGATTAGTGGAGATAAGAGATGGAAAGCGATATCGAAACTAGTGTAGGGAAGCCAGCACAAGTGCAAATGTCATGGTTCTAGATTCCTCGTATGATTGTCCTGAACCCTACCTGGACCCCCAAAGTAGGTAAGATGATAGCCCAACACCACCAGATATTGCCTAAATTTGCCTAAAAGGCAATTATTCTACATAATTTTGGGGTTCAGGTAAGCCCTAAACCACCTTTTTTTTTCGTGCCCGCATTTCGTAACCCTAAGCCCCAAACCCCTGAACCCTAAACTCTAAACCTTTCGTAGGAGAGCCGGGAGCGAGAGAAGCAGCTGAAAGAGTCCAATGAGGTGGCATCCGTGAGATTTTGAATTCGGACGTTTTGGGTTTGGGGGTTTTAGGGGTTTAGGGGTTTAGGGGTTCAGGATTTAGGGTTTGGGGTCTAGGGTGTAGGTTTTTGGGGGTTGTAGGGTCTTGATGGGGTCGGATGTGGGATGGTAGGGTTTCAGGTATAGTCCAAGTACTTCTAATCAGGGATACAGGGTCCCTACTGTTGGGCCTTGAGGCCATAAGTTGAGTGCTCTTGGGAGATTTTTCTGTGCTTGAAGGTTCGTGGAACTAAGTAACTACTTGTAGATTGTTGTTATCTTCCTATGATTGGGGTAACTCGCATAGTTCCAGTGGGGGGGTTATAAGTGGGCTCATAAGCCCAGTTCCAAGTACTTACTAAGTCCTCAAATCACAGAACGCTTGGCCATGGCGCCAGTTTCGGATGGGTGGGCCTGGCTTCTGCCGCTGCTGACTGCACATCTGGCTTGTGGAGTGACTGAGACTCCAAGGGGCAAGTGGGGGGCGAGCCTGGACCGCCGGCAGCGCCGGGAGCTCACTCGACAGTTGAACGTGGCCTGGGGACATGCACCAACGCCATGCCGCTGCCGGCCTTACATGTGGGAGCCCGCGCAGCCGGTTTTGTGGGGGCGCCGACCGCACCGCCTATTTCTGCATCAAGCACCTCGTTGGCAGCGCTCA